ATGCATCAACACACGTTATCAGAAAAATATGGTGCTCCCCCTATCAGCAATATTCACATGATTTTGATTTCTTCCCCTTTTTAGCATGTGATCAATTATGTAACAAGATACAAAACTCTCCCTATCAATATGCATATCATATTTCAGTATCAGAGTTGCATGATAGAGATATAATAGAGTATGTATCATTCAGACATTTTTAAGCAGTGTATCAAACAAGTATAAAAAATATAAGAGCATTTCAGATACAACTTGAAACAAAACAACCTGGTGTTATTAATCATAAACTAATACCAGATTCACAACAGATTTCAAACAATGAGATTTATGATGAATAAACACATAAAATCAGAAGTAATGGTTTAAAGTAAACATTTCAGCAATTTAGAAACTTCAAACCGATTGACGAAAATTAATCGATTTTGAATCTTCCTTAATCGATTTGGTTCTGCACTGCATTTTGAAATATCGCTTTCATCTCAGTTATCAATCATCACTACTGCATAATCTTTTCATCTCAACTAAATTGAGCGTTAGTTCTCATGCAGTATAATATTGAAACAACCATTGTCACGGTTCAAGTATGAATATGCAATGTAATAATGTAACATTGAAATGTTCAATTGCAATCATACAAGTGATATTTATTAGATGTAATCAATTCAGTGAATCAATCCACATTCACAAATTTAGTACCAAAAGATAATTTCATTAATATTGAAAAAAGGGGTACAAACAGAAATACTAATGGCTTAAGATAGCCATTGACAAAACATGAAACAAACAAAAACATAAACTGATGTTTAAACACTAAGTCTTTTAAGAATTCCTATCCTAAGTTAGATTCATCCATAAACTCCACTTCACTTGACTCATCAGTATCATCTAACATTTCTGTTGAAGAGTTATCTACAAAGTTCTTAATGAGCTCATCTACTTTGTTTTCCATTCGTATTAAAGACTTTTCCAATTTCTCAGTCTTTTTAAAAGTTCTTTCGAATCTTTCTACAACAGATCTTTCAAATTCTGACTTCTAACTGGTTTTTTATCATCTCTGAATATCCAGCCGCCAACAGTTTTCTTCAGGCCAATACATGTTAGTATTGCATTCCAAATCTCATTTGTCCTGTTGCACACAACTCTGTTTTCTCCAGTGAGAACTACTTGATTTAGTTTCAGGACTTTGTTGATGAACACTCCATATGGTAGGTTGTGCTCATCCTTAATTCCAGTGTTAATCATATGATTTTTAAGGCTAACAACCCAATTTGTTGGTATCCTTCTTTGTATTGCAATAAATAGAAATAAATCTTCTATTGACATTCTGTCATTCAAATATCTTCCTGGTAACAATATCCAAGCAAGAACGTATGCACACATCTTTTCTTCCTTATCCATTCCTTTGTGCAGAAATTATTTACCTTTTATGTACCTTCTAGGATATCTAAGACAATCTTTATATATTCGCTTCTTGGAAGTTCATTTGTTATACTTAGAATCTTGCTCATGAGACATACATCCTTCAGCTTTGAGTTCAGCAACAAATAACCAGTCATCATCATTGATTATGATATCTACACCCTTTACCCACGAAAGAATATCACCATTGATGACTTTGAGATTGTTGTAGAACACTTTAACCAGCTCACGATAGCAATCACCTTTCATCTAAGGAAAATCTGCAAGTCCCTGATGAGCAAGCCACTCAAGAAATAAAAACCCTTGACCCCTGATAGAAGTAGGTCAAGTGACTTGTGAGGAACAAATGTCTTGACTTTTCTCCGGCACATAAATATCTCTCGAGCAGTATCGTCGCTTATCTACCCAGTTGGGCTTGCGTTTCTTGATTCTTGGAGCGTATAAGCAATCTGTAATCTTTGTAAGACCAAAACAATCAGATATGAAAATGTTAGAATGATCAAAAGTCTTTACAGAAACAAACAATGCGTCAATTTATAGTTATTGTCATATCAGAGGCAAAGTAATCGATTACGTTAGTTATGTAATCAGTTACATAAAACAGATGTAATAGTATTATAACTAAATCAGCTCTTAATTGAATGCTCAATTAATGTAATCAATTTGCATTTAATGTTAGTCAAACGTATTTAAAATTATGACTGTTAAAGCAGTTATGACTACCATGAAATCAGTTTTCAAAACATAACAAACTTAATTGAATACACAACATATGTAATCGATTAAGCTTTAACACTTAGACAGATTTTGAAAACTTTTCTTCTCAAAAACTCATCACAGCGTATTTGAAAAAGATATATGCAAGCACACAAGTTTTAATTGATTTAACAAATAATGTAATTGATTCAAACTAGCTGTTTTACCACACTTCAAAACATAAGTTGTCTAATGACCTTAATTGATTACTGCAACATTCTAATAGATTATGTCATGTAGATATGTTTTTGTTCTTGTGGTTTTCATTACATAGAAACATACAGTGTGCATACACAGATATAATCAAATCATAATCACAATAGTATCCATAACCAACACAATATGTTCAACATATGCATTTATCATAGTATGTGCATATAACATAGTAAGCATGTACATAATCCACATATGTATAACAAAACACATAAGCACTTTTCTGTTGTAACATGATAACGTTGTTGCTATTAATGTGTTGTCATAATCAAAAACACCATAATAGGGATTGGGTTCAACTATCACATTTCTCCCCTATCAACAAAACGTTTTATATTATTTTTTTAGTCACTTCATTTTTCTTGTTTACAATTTTAATTAAAAATTTAATGTATCGCATATTTTTGATTTTATTATTAATTGCGTATTGTTGTCATTAATAAATCAAATATCTAGTTAATTAAATAATTAATTGATAATATTATTTTGTAATTCATAATTTACTATTTTCTTTTATTACACAATAAACCGTTTGATTTCGAGGGTGAAATAGGTGGAAATTCTTCTATTCTATTCATAGATTCCAAGATGGTAGTAATTGTAAAGATAATGGTTTTTTTAAGTGATAATAACTTAAAAATTGTGAGACTCAATTATTTTAATATTAACTAGTTTTAATATGAATAGTTTTGTTATGAATGAGTTTCATTATTTTAAAACACATAATATCTATATAAACTACTTTTTTAGAGTTTTACCACCTTTTTATAGTTCTCTTACTTTTCTCTAAGGGTTCTTTCTTTTTGTCGTTTAATTGAAAAACTAGGACGATGAGATTGATTCTTATGACAAGCTCTTCAATTTGGATTTATCAGTTTACGACAAGATCTTCAATTTGGATTTATTAGTTTCTCTGTTCACATAAGTTAAGTTTCATCTGTTTCTTGGTATTTTTTCGTTATATGTTACATGTGAGTCTTCTTCCATGCATCTTTTAGTTATCTATATGAGTCTCTTGTAACCAGTGACTCTAATGGTTTGTCATGATCTTGTTAGTGTTGTTCCTGTGTAGATAGGACATCTTGTAAGCTAAAAGAGTCTTGGGGTTCCTTAGAGCAAGTTTGCTTGTCTCTCAAGTAAGGAAAACTAATTGCATTTGTTTTTCAATTATAGATATCTTAAAATGTTTTGTATAATTAAGTGGTTTGATGATGTTTGATCTGATAAATTTGGTTGTGTTGGATGTTTATTACGTCGAATTGTCGTAGTGAGTTTTTGCTTTGATTGGGAAACTTGGGATGTGATCAATTAAGCCAATTGGTATTTTCCCTAACAAAAAAGTAGTTATTGACCAAAGTACTAAAAAGGAAATACCAATTTGACCATTTGAACAAGTTCTATTTTTCCTACATCATATAACTTTTTTTTTGTCTTTTTGTGCAATGTTGAGTGACAATAGATTGGTGTCAAGCGTCAGTTCATTTGGCATATTTGGGAGCATTTTGACCATCAATTTTGAATTGTTAAGCATGGTAGCTGAACGGAGTGAAGGGTCCCTCAACACCTAATTTTGAGAATGGTTTAGTGCTTAATAGTATAAGATGCTGTTGAACGTTATCCTTGTAGGTTTGGTGTATTTTAACCAACAAATTTATATTTTTAGAAATCATTTTCTTAATTTAATTCGAATACCGTTGAGCATCACTCTTACCCCAAATTTATAGCTAAGAACAAAATGATTAATATTGAATATTTTATCATTTTTTAAAATATATTCATAAAAGATTACTTTTTAAGTCAAACATAAATCATTCATTTAAATAAAAATTATTTAATTTTGACAAATATAAAAAAAGAAGTCATAATTTTTGTATAATTTGTTTTTATTTGGCTTTGGTCCATATATTACAGATAAAAGTTATGAGATAGAACAACATTAAAATAAAAATGTGATTATTAACAAAAAAAAAATTATAGACATGTGAAAACAAAATTAGGAACATTTAATGTTTCTTTTTCATTTTAAAACAATATTCATAAAAAATAATTTATCAAGTTAATCATAAATAATTTATTCAAATGAAGTATTTTACTTTTAGATAAATAAAAGTAGTAAGTGTATGTTCCTATACGTAGTAAACTTAGGTATGTCTCCTCCAATAACAAGTTCTCTATACATATATATGTAGTATTTATAATACATGTGTATTGATATATAATATAATACTTCATAACTATTGAAATAGTCTTACCCGTTTGAATAGTTATTCCATTGCTCCATAATTAAAACAATTAGTATAGTTTATCTAAATATATGAAAGGTTTTGTTAACTATAACGGTTAACTCAGGATTAGGCGATTTAATCAATGATAAAGTTCAAACGGAATAAAAACAAATAAATTTTAAAGTTTAAGAAAAATAAAATTATGAATTTATGGCTACAAATTATTGATATTATTAAAATGTAACTGAAAATACATATGAAAAAAAGTTATGAAACATAAAATTATGATTGGATTAAAACAACTATTTTAAACAGTAAAATTTGTATAATTGTTTGATTACAAACAAAAATTTTCCAAACTTATTTTAGGAGTAAATTAAAAGCAAATTAATTACCACAATCACCACCAGGTCCTCCAAACAGAACCATGTAGCCATAAATGTGTCTTACATCACCATAATATCTAACACCATAACAATTGGGTTTGTCAGTAAATGAATTAGTTTGATATGGTCTTGCTTCACGAGATTTTCTTGATGCATCTTGAATCGACACGTGTCTAAAGAAACAAGCATGAGTAAGAAGGTTATCATAAGGAAAAGATCCAGACCCCATTTGAGGACTATGAGTACCAAAATGAGTTCTTGTTCTTCCACCCCATCCTACTTCTTCAGCTGAGCTCATGTTGTTGAATAATTTTGCTGGAAAATATCCAATAAATTTATTGTCTATACTTAACCACCAATTTTTGCTCACTGGATCCTGGAAACATACACACACTTTTATTTTTATGAAAGATGTATATCTCATACAAGTCAAATCTAGCTCTATCTTTTTATTGTAGTGAAAGTATATAAAAGGATTATGACCTGAGAAATAGAAAGGGGAAACTCATAAGTTGGTCCTCCGTACACAGATATGTTTGCTATGCGTGCACCAAGATAAAGTTCTTTGCTAGTTTGAATAAAACCTGCACATCGAACATTGTAGCATCCTGTCTTTCCGAAATTATTTGACTGTAAATTTTTACACCACATTTTAAATAATGATATTAATATGATGAAATTAATTAATTAAAATTTATTTATATCTAGTAATGGCTTAATTATATTCTTATACACGAAATCTAAAAGAGAAAAGAAAATACCCTTCGCTCGTACAAAAAGATTTATTTGGGGAGCATAATATCTTTCATTTTTGTAAATAAATAAATTATAAAATTATAACATGTTCTTACCGTCCACGAACTATAAAAATGAGTTGCATAATCACCATATAATTCTGGAATCACCTGGTAGTAGTGCATTAGACTAATTAAAATATTTTTTATATTATCAAATTAATATTAATTAACAGTAGAATTTATATATATATATATATATATATATATATATATATATATCCAAAAATAATTAAGTGTAAAATATATAACTTACATGCCATCCTAATGAAATTTTGTTAGTTGATTCTATCGGTCCATTTTGAACCCATAAATGAGACATAGATATTTGAACTTTTGTATCAATCCGTGGATTATAAATACTATTTGATCCACTAACTCCAAAGTAAGGACCAAAATCTGGTTTAAGAGAAACTTCTGCAATCTAAAAAATTCAATGTATACAAATAATTAGTTAGATTGAAAATAATAAAGTATCAAAGTTTTAAACTATTTTTATGAAAGATCTTACATGAACACCAGGAAGGTCTTGAAGCAATATATGATCCCTTAACATTGATTTTTCTCCAATATAGTCTTCTTTTGTTGTTCTCAATATAGGAACAGTTCCTTTTGGACATTTATCCTTACTCAATCCAAACATGGATCTAGTTCCTAAATTTTTCTGACTTGACTTTTCAATTACATTAATAAAATTGGGTTTTCTCTAAGATTAAAACAAAGAGTAAACAAACAAATATCAAAGCATGAAATACATTGTAAATGAATGATTGAAAAATAATCCTAAATATTGAAAAAAATAAAGTGAACATCAATTTTCAATATAATTAAAGGTTTTGTTATATACCTGCAATTTATGATCCTTTAATAAAGGATGATCAAAAGATGGTTGTTTGTAAATATCAATACAATCAACAATATCTCCAAACTTTGTCTATCAAATCCAAAATAAAAAACATAAAATAAAATTATTAAACCATGTAGTGAATAAAGGAGCTATTTGATGAAACCTAAAAAAGTTGAGACATGCCTGAAAACTCCGTTTAGAAGACTTATTAATAACGTCAAGTTGTCTCTCCAAGTGTAAATCTTCCTTTAGTAGAGTTTGAATTCCGTCAACTTTAAAGCTAACATGACTACTCAACAAATACATCACTAAAAACAATATATTGATCATCTTTTCACAATTATTACTCATGAGTCTCTCTCTCTCACACACACACACACATATATATATATATATATATATATATATATATATATAATTTTCATTTGGAGTTTTAGTATAATTTGAATTTTGTCAACTTTAAACAGAAAAAAATAAAAAAAAAATGCTTATTTGTAGTTTCTTCTCATTTATGATTTTAACTTTCTTCTATAAAAGTTAAGGAATATATTTATTGTATAGTAGTAGTCGTTAAACATTATTTATTATATAGTAATTAGTGCATAATATTTACTAATTAGTATTTACTAATTAGTATTTAATATTTAATATTTTTTATACAATATTTATTAGTATTTATCATGTAATATTTCATTTTAATAGTATTAAAATTAGTGTCGTCAAAATGGGTTGAAACCCTTGAGCCAAGCGTCTCACCATGGGTTTGAGCTGGGTTGGGTTGGAAAAAAATGCAAAATTTTTTATGCGAGACAATTTTGACCAGGCTCACACGAGTTGAACCCGTGGTGGGTTGGGATGGCTCACCAACCCAACTATTTTTTTTAATTAAATTAAATTAATTATTCAAATCCTATTTTTTTATTAAAATCAAATTAATTAAATTAATTATTCAAAATGCACAACTTTTACTTAGAACCCGCTACTGTCTTTCCAAAAGTTCCTCTCTGCAAATAAAACCCTAAGATTATAAATTGGATATATTATAGATGGAGATAAAGAAAAAGATGCTTCAAGAGAGCATAATACTGTGAATTTATCCATTCAGGACTCCAATTTAATAAATGGATAATATTATAGATTGGATAATTCAGGAATATATCATTTGTTTTATCTTGTTTTTAGACCTATCTACAAGCATTAAAGTTTTATCTTGTGCTATATATTTTTGTTAACGGCTATATGTAGTTTCTTGGTCAAATGGTTGTGTATGTCTCATTAAACTAAATTGGCAAAATTGTATGCTTGATAGCTTATGTTTCGGCAGGATTTAGAATCTTAATCCAAAACATTCAAAGTTGTATGCTCCAATGTCTAGTTGTGCTGTCTTCTCTCTTCTCCTTGTCCAAGCCGCGGGGAAGGGTGCCTGCAAAAGACACTCCGATGCTCAAGTCAGTGACTTTGTGTAATAATCCTGTAATCAAGATTTAGTTATCAGAGCTCTAAGTTTCAGTTCGAGTTCAAGTTCAAGTTACCTGTCTCCTTTGCCAGAAATATATTTATAAATTATAATGAGATTACCGTTAGGTCTGACTCATTAAACACCAATGAATGACAATATTAATTATCAATAAATGACAATTATTTTCATTAACACCCCGACAGTTATTACTATTGATTACCTTAACGGCTCTTTTTACCGATCGGTTCATTGACTTAAGAGGCATCATCGGTCAGCCGACTCTTCTGCACCTTTACCGTTCGGTTGGTTATAAGTCGATAGTAACAGCTTATAATATATATAACAATATATTTCTTTTGTTTCATTTTCGTTTATATCAATTGATCCAATTATTATGATTTCAATTTGATCGATCAAAGTAACATGTTATAAGAATTTGAGAAGAAGAGGGTGAAAAAAAAGTTAATTAAGTGAGCCAATGAGCCAACTCGTTTAAACCACCAACCCGTGGTGGGTTGGGTCGGGTTTGAATTTTTTCGGCTTGCTAATAAATGAGCCGGGTTGGGTTGACTCACTAAGCGGCCAACCCGTGGTGGGTCGGGTTGGGTCGGGCCGTGTTACCCGTTTTGACAGCTCTAATTAAAATACTATGTTATATCACATTGAAACTAAAAAGTGTAGACATGCACGCAGGCGCACACACACATAAATGCACACGCACACGCACACACACATGCGCACACACACGTACGCACACAAACGTGCACATGCACACACAAGGAGATAGGAACACAGGCACACGCTTGCACACGCACATATGCACACGCGCACACACACATACAAACACACTCATACACAAACACACATGTACACACATGTACACACACACGCACACACACACACACACATGCACACACCTAGACACACACACACACATACAAAAACTAAGCATCCTAATTTATGCTTCCACAATATCTTCATCTTGAACTTGGTCCACATAGGCATCTTGTTTTCTCACACCATGGTGATCATTGCAAACAGGAAGATAAACACACAAGCAAAAGAAAGGTATAAGGGTAAGCTGTTTTTATCAAAAGAACATACATAAAAATAAAATCTAGATGTTAAATCACAAACAAAGGTATATAACTCAATCCTAAGGCATACAATCATAACTTCTAAACTTCACCATTTGGATACATGTATTGGCGTCAAACTCTGGCGAGTTATGCACTTGTGGTGGCCTCTACTACTCTACAAAGCCATTGTCAATAGGTTTTACCCTATCACACACACAAGGTTAGTCTCATAACGCCTTATTTCAAGGTAAAGCCCCTAAACTATAGGACCTCTTGATACTCTCACTACATACCATACCCTTCTCTACTTGAGATTGGATGGTTATTAGAGCGTCAGGATAACCCTGAATACGGAATCCTTACATCAATACATACACTACTATAAGAAACTTATCTTTTAAATTCCTTTCTCAACATACTTTATTCTTAAACATAGTCATATCATAATCCATTAGGCATCACATATTCACGGTAAACATACTTAAAAATCATAGTAAAACACTTCAAATAAGCAAGGATCAAAAACTCCCTAAAAACCACACTAAAGCTCAGATTGAGGCTCAACATAGAAGCTATGGAAAAAGAGAGCGCTTAGCGCTAGAGCTCTTGCATATTTTTGCGTCCAACAAACCAAGACGTCGCTCGACGAAAAAGAGATAAAATGGTTTCAGACCTATAGTAGTAATTGGTGCTCAATGGTACCTTGTCACCACTCAACACGAAATCATTCTCAAAAATGGCCACTTAGCAGTGAAAGTTGGTGCTCAGTGATCTGGAGACCATTCTAGACTTATATAACCAAGTTATGCTTAGCGGCATACCAGTGCCACTCAATGCCATATCAAAAACCAACAACTTCATATCTTTGATTTGGAGAATCAGATACCTATTCAAATGATCAAATTGGTATTTCTGACTCAATGTATGGTTCAAAACTAGGTTTAAGTATCATAATGAATACCAATTTAGTCAAATGGCCAAAATCTTAGTTCCTCAACTCAACACCAAATCAACCGAACACAAGCAACATTTTACAAGCAAACACAATAAAGTTTCTACATGCCAAATTACAAATTACAGACCATATCAAATATGCATCAGAGATTTTCAAAACATCATTAACTTTAAACTGTGCTAGTCAGCTTCCCTTACCTTTTAGAGGATCAAACAACTTTAATGATCCTAGAACAACCTCAACATCTTAAAGAATATCCTCCTACAAACCAGATAAACATAATCAAGGCATTACCGTTTGGACCACTAATCAGCAAAGAGTGTTATAGAAGACTAAGATGACACATGCAATAGAGATCAACTCACATGCATGGAGAAATGTACATACTGAAGAAAAGAGCATAAATTAACTTACTCCCTTGTAAAAATTGATCGGGTAAACTTGAAGATTTGGCCTCAGCGATCACTCAAGTAGTCTTTGATCTTTAGACAAATGAACTAAGACTTAGGATCTGAAAGACGTAAAGAGAGGGTAAGACACTTTTAGAAAATATGTTTTAGAGAGATAATATATTTTTAGATAATAAAACTCGTTAATTGAAATTTTATTTATGTTAAATTTTGAATATTAAAATAGCACTCATCATTTAAAACACATTATCACTTTCAAAATATTATTTTCTAAATTCTTAATTTTATATATATATATATATATATATATATAAATGCCATAAAAAAGTAATGCTGATTTGGAGTTTCTTCTCATTTATGATTTTAAGTTTCTTTGATAAAATTTCAGGAGCATATTTATTGTATAGTAATACGTACTTATTATATAGTAATTAGTGTAAAGCATTTAATAATTAGTATTTAATGTTTAATATATAAAATTTATTAGTATTTATTATATATCTTTTATTAACTTTTAAATAAATATATCTATGGTTAAATATATTTTTAATTTTCAAATTATTAAAAAAATTGACTTTTGTCGTTATATTAAATTATAAAGTATTTTATTATGGTATAATGTGGAGTTTTTTTTTTTCACCTGAGAAACACTTACATATTTTTCGTTAGAGACGACGTTTTAAATGACTTTAATAAAGATTAGAGACTTTTTTTTAACATAAACGAAAAACATATTTAATTCATATACTTATCATTTATAATTATTTATTGTTATTAATAAGTTTTGAGTATAAAAGACTATTTTCAATACATGAGAAAATTTAATTAATATCATTTGAAAAAGTTTTAAATAAAAATTTAGATTTGAATGATTTTAAGTTTAGTTATATTCCGAAATAAATATATATGTTTTTTGCAAAATGCAAAAATGTTTCTACAAGACCAACTTGAAAAATATATATCATTCGTGAATTATGTTTACCATAGTATTAATTTTGTAATCATCGTATTCATTTAAAAAGTGTATTCAAGAAATTCAACTATATATTAATCTCGTACGAGTGAAATCTAGCTCTATCTTGTATGTTCTTAGTTGTAAAATTTAAGTTTGTTGTAACTTTTATAAAATTTAAAAATTGTAGTGTTTTTTAATAGTATTTTTGAAATTCATTTGCAAAATAGTGTCTAAGGGATGAATAGTGTTTTTGAAATTCTTTCGGAAAATAGCATCTAATAACTTACAAAGAGAATATATAAAATTGTAAGATGTTTAGACGTGAGTTTTTTTGTAAGATAAGTAAATAGAAAACATTTTGAATAGCAAATCAATAAAGCATAAATTTTTATACGGGTTCACTCAACCTGAGTTACGTCTAGTTCTCCCTTAAGAACTCTTAAGGGGT